TTGTCGGCCAATACATTGGTTTCGCAGACCAAACAGATGTCATAACTTTCTCTAGTTTATTTGATCGAGTCTCACCCTCAATTCTTGTGTTCATCCTTTGGGATAAATCCATGATTTGAGGTAAAATGCTCTTTCATCTAAACTATGAAAATTATGGCTTCATCTTTTTCAAAACTAAATTTTTTAAAAACGTCCTTCCGAAGCGGGAAACGGAATTTCAATTCCGATGACCGACAGCTTCTTACGGGCAAACCCCACACCAAAAATAGTGCCGACAACACCGATGAATAAGACTAAGAAAAAGGAAACTTTCGAAGAAGGGGACCTAGTGTGGATTCAACTAAAATTTTATACTGCGTTTTATTTTATCCAACCAAATACTAAAGTTTCAAAATTCTCTCCTTTTGGTTTACTTCTCACTACAAATCCATCGAACCAAATAGCCTCTTAGTTGTTATGTTATTATGTTTAAATATCTTGCTTTGATAATGTAGCTTAGTTTGATGTTTGTATAACCTTTTTTAATTTATCATTTAATATTATGATACTATCATTTTAGTTAATATTTTGTGGAATTTGTTACTCTTTATTTTATTAGGATATTAATATATTTTTTCTTATAGCACACTTAAAATTTATAGAATAATTTTTTCCTTACATAATTTCTTGAATTTGAGGCTTACACCTCGAAACAATCTTGAGATTTGCAGCTCATCGCACGTATAAAAAATATTTCCATACATAATTGTGCAATTTTAGAACTTGTTTTTAATGGAAATATTAATTTTAACATTGGTTTGTCTTAGCAAGAATAAATCAAAGTTTGAGATGTTATTGGGTGTTGAGGGAGCAGTGTTTGTTAAGTATGCAAACCTTAGCAAATCCTAATATTTGACGTCTTATCACAAAATGATTGTTATGCAGGGCTGACCATGTGTCTAATTTGGAACATTATAGCAACAACAACTGCTTGGATTAAGGGGGAAGGTGAACATTGATTTCATGTCATCTATTTTTACTTGGGGCTTATCTCTCTGCCAATGCAAGCTTTGGGATTATTTGAGATACTGATTTTAGTTTTCCTCAAAGGTGTAAAGATCTGGTTGCTTTCTATCATCTTCTTTATCTCTGGTGTCCCTGGTGCCTATGTGTTATGGTACAGGCCTCTTTATAATGCCATGAGGTATTGATATTTAGCATTGCTTTTTCTGATTTTCATTTTTGTTCTCTCTCCTTTACTTTATTCACTACTTATATGATTAGATCAGCGAGTTTTTACGTTATTGAAGTTGTAACTTGCAGGACTGAAAGTGCTTTGAAGTTTGGATGGTTTTTCCTGCTTTACCTGGTAAATTATATGTAGAATAGTTTTGTATGCGACATTTGGATAGACATGAAAATAATGGATGTTGTATTTTAATCTAAAATTAGGTACATATTGGTTTCTGCATCTATGCTGCGGTGGCTCCTCCAATATTCTTCAAGGGAGAATCTTTGACGTGAGTTCCCTTGTGATGAAAATTCATTGTTCAATGATCTTTCATTAAGATAAATTATCATTCCGTTGCTTTTGCTGTTTCAGGGGAATTTTGTCAGCTATAGATTTATTGGGAGACTATGTTATAGTCGGGGTGAGTATCTCATATATCTCATATCAGAAGTTATAGATCTGATTTTTGTGCATGGATATCTCATTTTAGACAAGAATGTGGTATGATACTATTGTTTATTTTTTAATTCATGATTTGTCGGATTGCCTTGTTTAGTAGAGCAACATCAATGACGGTAACATTTTACTAAGAGCATCAGACAGTTTCTTCAAAATGTCGCGCAGTAGTGTTTATTTTAGCAACCTATATTTTACATGTTTGCGGGTGCGAGCTATCTATACAATACTTTTTAGGATTTTTCGGTGTGGATGAGGCTATAGCTTTTAGAATTATGGCCGAGTTGCTAAAATGAAGAACTTTTTCTGAAATTATTATGTGATAAGAACATATCATGAAGAATTAAGTGTAAATCCTATAAAATTGCTATTAGGATAGCTATGGATTTGAGTGTTGTGCAATAAAAAAAATTACTAATGGCAATTTTAGCTTGATGAAAAAAAAAAATATATCAAAACAGGTGTATTACAAAATTTGACATAAATTATGGAATGATTGTATTTGATGAACACTTAAGAGTAACATCTAATGATGTTAAGGCAAATGATAATTAGACTAGGCGATTTGATCATGTATAATAAAGAGGATAGATTGTCTGATTATAGATGGATGATCAAAGTTAGTATCATATGATTAGGAAGGCAATGGGATACTAAAGATAACGAAATTATTCAAAATGATTTGTAAAAAATAACTTCAACACTTTAGACAACACTGAAATGAATGAATGAAAAATGAGTAGTCATAAATTTGATACCAAATAGTTGAAATTAGGCTAATAACAGTGATGATGAATCTTAGCTATAAAATTGCTATTGCTAGATTTTATTTTGGATTCTTCCATTTGTGTTTATACAAATAAATATATTTTACCATTTTGATGCCCCACTTGTTCAAAACTTTAGGCTTTGTCCATATGCTTATTCTTACTTATGAGTTGTCAGTCTATATATGCGTATGTGCGTATGGTGAGCGAGGAGGTTTTCGTGATGGTTTTCTACTGCATATGGACAACCCAACTTTATTCTGGGCTGAAGCCTTGTCCCTCTAAATGTTGAGTATTTGTCCAATGCTTGCTTTTAGATGGCCTGAACACTTCCCGGCAATCTCTATTTGGCACAAATTCTTCATGAAGTTTTCATTGTCCAATTGTAGTAGGACGTGAAAGGTCTGATCTGAGCTAGATCCGACGCAGATGGTTGGGTCAAAGTAATTTGATTTAATCTTGAGCTGAGCTAGTCTTTTTTATATTGTTTCTGACCTTGATCAATCTAGACATGGCTCATTAAGTTTGATTCATAGCGATTGTTTATTTGATTTTAGTTTATTTTCTATTTTCTAAGAAAAATTATTATTTTACACGCATGCATCAACTGTTGATGGATTTATTCATATATCTATATACATTTCAACCTGTTATGCTATCATTAATGAGCTAGCATGAGTTAATTTAGGCTTCATTCAATTCAAGTTGATTTAAGCTTGATCCAACTCATTTTTTATATCAAAAATTTTGATTTGAGCTGTGTCAAAATTCAAATGAATTTTCGTGTCAAATTCACGTCCATGCCTGATTGGAATGACTCTACCCTTCCAAGATAGTGAAGAACTCTCTTTTTTACATGAAAAATCAATGGCGAGTCAAGAAGCAATCTCTATTATTGTACTTGCCAGTTTGGTCTTCCTTTCAGGAGAATTTTCTTGGCCGTTTTCAGAAGGTTGTGTTTTGAATTGTAACTTCACAGTCTTGCGTCATGCATTCAGAGTTCGTTTTCAATATTTGGCTAACTTAATGCTTTTTCAATTCGCATAATTGTGCAATAATTAATTTAATGTGATTCAAATGTCCACTGATTTCTTGGAGCGTGTCTCTGCATTTGTTGGATATTTTCAAATTGCAGAGTTTGAGAGTCCCATTACTGTCAGATCATTTGGTTGTGCGGCAGAATGAAATAGATTTTTATAACCAAATTATTAGGCAGGTAGCAGGCTCTAGTATGGGGCTCTGATCATTTGGAGCCTCTTTTTTCTATTTCAAACATAAACGAATTCATTTTTCCTGCCCAGTTTTAGATTTGGGGTTAATTTAGATCCAATTTCCTTTTAGTTATAATCAAGGTGGATCTGTAATGGATTTCTCTTTACATATTTCCGTGGAATTGTAATGGATTGCTGCAGTAGATTTCCATGAAATTTGCTTGTGACGCCCTTTTCTTCAACTTAACCTCTACTCTTTTGCTTTAGATCTTCTACTTCATTGGCTTTGGTTTCTTCTGCCTAGAATCGCTGCTCAGCATCTGGGTCATTCAGGTGATTTCTTCCTCCACAGCTTCTTCATCTGCTGCTCTGTTATTCATTTGTTTAACCTAAAATGTTCAATAATTGAATGAAAAAAAAAAAGAGGCATAGAAACTTGTTTTTATTCTTAATAATTGAATGAAAAAAAAAAAGAGGCATAGAAACTAATAGGGCGGTTTGGGTCCACTTTTATTCTTAATTTTCTATTTTTTATTCTTAATTTATTTTGTTTTATGTTTGATTTGAAAAAAAAATAAATTGATATATTTTATTAAGATATGGTTAATTTTAAAAACAACTCAAAGACACCTAAAAATTATTTTGAGTTTTTTAAAAAACAGGCAAATTAATTTTTAGAAATAAAAAATAAAAATATATAAAAACCTGAATAAATATATATTTTTTTAATTAAAAAAAATTGATCTCAAATAAGCCCTTATTAGTTATACATCCTCATGCCCATAGTATAATATAAACGATTTGTGCTTGAGCACGTGTAATTTATATCATGTTGCGCATTCAATTTTGAGTTGTTTGAATTCAACTCGTATTTGAATATGAACAGGAACATAGTGAGCGTTAGCTCACTCAAAACTTGATAGGTTCGTGCTCGTTCGGTCGGCTAAAGTTATTCAGTTTGTGAATAACTGAGTTTTTTTAACATCCTTATTGATTACTTTATTTTTCCTGTGCAGCAAGTTTACTTATACTTCCGTGGTAATGGAAAAGCGGCGCAGATGAAGCGCGAGGCCGCTGCCGGTGCCTTCAGGGCAGCAATCTGATTTTGAATCTGTGTTTAAAATAAGGCTGATAGCTATCCGTAGAGCTTGATGTCCATTATTATCATTTTAGTAAATATTTGGTGCTTTTTTAATTTTTTTTAAAGGTTTGCTATATGAAATGGCAATGTTTGACATCTCATGTTGATTTTTCCTGCTGCATTATATAATGTTATCATTATTGTTACAATAGCTTCTAGACATGATGGGCTGATCGTGTTATGTATAAATTGTTAGGTTTGCAAGTCAGTTGTGCTCATCTTCCTCCCTTTTCAACTGATTTATGCGCAATTTAACGAGGGAAACTGGAGGTACTGTTTGGTTTGATGGGATTTTAAGTTAGAAAATTAGACAGTAGGCTTAATAAGTTCATATTTAAAAATTAGAGGGCTAGTTTGTTTCTTCCTTCGTATTTAGTGGTAGTTTAAGATAAATTAGTAATAAAAGAATTTAGTGTACGAAAATAGGGTAAAATTTGTGTACGTTGTAGTAAGATCATTTTCAAAGTTTAATTTAGTACAGCAATTCTATGTGATTAATAAACAGAGCAGCATTTTATAGCGGCATATAATAGAAAAAACAATGCTCAGATTTTCTGAGAATTAAACTTCACCAACAAACAATCATCACAAGTATTAAGGGGAAAATTCAGAGTTAATGAATCTATAAAGGATTAAAACTAAAAATTTTTTAGAATTTAAAATTGAGCTTTCAAACACAATATGAAGACAACTAGTCCATGTTGAGAAAATCGACGTTGATGCCGCCTTGCATGAGTTGCAATTCTGTTTGCCCTAGTTGTAAATTTAATATTTTACATTACAATTGTGATTGGGAGATGTATCTCAATGAGCTATCGTCACCGTTTGGGGCTATCTAGTTGCAAGTTGGATTTAGGGTCAAGTTGGGATACTATTTGTGTAAGCGGCTTTTAAAAACCCTTTTATTTCGAGCTCTTTGTTTGTTGGGGGCCGCAACAAATCGAATGCCAAATCTGAAGGGGGGAGAGGGTGTTCTGCGGTTGGATATCAGTTACAAGGTGCCTTTTATGTCGCTTTCCTTTTGGATTTTGGGTAATCCTACTCCCTATCCTGGCTTATACCTTCATTTTTGTACTCCTTTATCACTTGTATCGTTAGGGCTGAAACCTGATTTCGCTTCCCTCCCACTGTTCAGCGCCGACAAGTTGTTGCATCTTTCTAGTGAACTTTTCTCATCTATAATTTTTTTTTTTTTGTTCATTCACTTCAACCTTTGTGTTTCTTGTTTCTTCTGTGAAATATTTTGTGTTCTTAAATTGCACATGTCTTCATTGATTTTTGGTGGTCAATGAGCTTGCTCTTTCTCAAGCATATGCGTTGATGAACATTTTGTGGAGAGATTTCTGAGCACCTATTTGATTTTTTTTTTCTCGTATTGTATATGAATTGATGCAAAGTTGAAGTTTCCAAGATAGATTAGTTAGCAACACTTATAGTAATCTTGATCATGCAGTAGAAATTATGCAACGAAGAACATATGAGCTTTCCTCATCTCTTTTCTAAAGATTTATTATTTTAAATATCCTAATCGTGGAGTAACATTTTGGGGTGGAGAATGTTTAACACTGCTCACTTTATGTAGTTTTCTTCTGTTGAGATTTTTTTAAATAGAATAGAAGCTTTGCTGCATATTTGAATTTTGCATGATAGTAAGTTAGCAACATCATTACCTATTCTGAACAATCAATAGATTTAATGGGATGAAATAAATATGAGCAATGCTCGTCGGTTTATTTCAATTTTTTGTTGGGTTTTTAGCTTAGATATGTATAACCATCGATTTTCAGTTTGTCTAACATGTTTTGCTGGTCGAATTGTTTGCACTTGCCTCTTCCTCAGTGTAGAGTAATATTTTGGGGGAGAATATTGAGCACTGCTTCCTTTTTTTAGTTTATATGAGTCTTTTATAAGTAGAATTACATATTCTTTGCTGCATATTTGCAGTTCAAATGATAGATAAGTTAGCAACATTCTTATCTCTTCTAATCAATTAGTAGAAACAAGGAGATGAAATATATTTAAGCATTGCTCATATGTTTGTTGCAATTTTTTTGTTGGTTTATTTTCTTTTGATTTATATATGAGCACTGGTTTTTAGTTTGTCTGACAAATTTGACAGGTCAAATTGTTTGTTCTTACCTTCTCCTTAGTGTAGATTAATATTTGTGGGGGAGAATGTTGATTACTACTTTTTTTAAGTTTATATGAAACTTTTATAAATAAAATTGCATATGCTTTGTTGCACGTTTGAAGTATGCATGATAGATAAGTTAGCAGAATCTATACTTATTTTGATCAATCAATTGAAGCAATGAGATGCAATATATACGAGCAATGTTCATATATTTGTTTCAAATTTCTTGGTTGGTTTATTTTGTTTGAATAGATATATACACACTAATTTATGTTTTTCTGACAAATTATATTGGCCAAATTGGTTTCTCTTGTCTCATTCTCAGTGTATAGTAACATTTTAGGGGGAGAATGTTGAACACCATCCCTTTTTTTTTAAGTTTTCTTATGTTGAAAATTTTATAAATAGAATTGTGTATGCTTTGATGCACATTTGATGTTTCAATGATAGCTAAGTTATCTAAATCCTTGCTTTGTTCTAAACAATCGGTAGAAGCAATGTGATGAAATTTATGCGAGCAATGCTCATCTGTTTATTTCAATTTTTTGTTGGTTTATTTTCTTTAGATAGGTAAATGAGCACTAGTTTTCAGTTTTTCTAACATATTTTGCTGGTTTAATTGTTTGCAATTGCTTCCTCCTTAGTGTGAAGTAACATTTTGGGGGAAGAATATTGAGCACTGTTTCTTTTTTTTAGTCTTTGTTTGTTGATACTTTTACCAATATAATTGTCTATCCATCACTGCATATTTGAAGTTTGTATAATAGATAAATCAGCAGCATCTAAAATAAAATATATTTCAACATTTGAATGTTGGACACTGATCAAGTAGTAGAAGTTATGGAATGAAAGACATTTTAGCAATGTTATATTGTCTCTTAAATAATTTTTTGTACTTACCATGCATATGCTTTTACTGAGGATATATGCCAGATAAGATATCAAATGATAGATGTCATTCAAATGTTATTTAGGGCAATGATAGAAAATAACTATCAAAGGGCTCAACTGATCACCACTCGTCAATTTTAAATTATTTTCCCACAGATACTACTTGTCGCTAAAGAACATGTTCAAGTGCTTATTTGATTTGGGAAAATTGTGATTATGGATGAAGTCTTCTTTGGTTAAGAGATCTCACTTAGCTCTAATTATTGTCTCAAGGACCTGATTTTGGATAACGTGATAAAAACAAAAATATGGTTATGGGTATCTCATCTGGCATGTAATTTGAGGATTCACATTAATGTAAGAATATGTGGAGCAAGTACACAAAAATTTCTAAAAGAAATAGATGAACAATGCTCATATATATTACATTCCATTGCTTCTACTAATTGACTTAAATAATTAATGAGACTACTAACATATTTATCTTACAAACTTCAAATGTGTAAGAAAACATATGCAATTTTATTTATCAAAGTCACATTAGAAGAAAAATTAAAGAAGAAAGTGATGCTCAAATTCTACCCCTACCCCTCCCTCCCCAAATGTTACTCCACACTGATGAGGAGGCAAGAGAAAGCAACTTAGACAACAAATTTTATCATAAAAACTAAAAATTAATGCTCATATATCTATCTAAAGGGAGATATGTTGAGGTGGAGTGGATATTGTTAACTTATCAGAAGTGTTTCTCGAGATTTTTATGATCTTATTACTATGGATATTTTGTGAAACCGTTGGTTGCTTGGTTTTTGTTTACAATGTTGCTTTCGGAATGAGATTAGGTTGGCACATTTCATGGATGTTCTTGTGAGCTGTTTAGTAGAGCAATGATGGAAAAAACATGACAAAGGGCTCAACTGATTACCAATTGTGAATATGAAAGTAAAATGACCATGCTAATTGGACACAGATACTTCTTGGTCCTTATGCTTGGAAAACACAATTGGTGATTCTGGATAGAGCTATTTTTGATATCACAAATTGATTTGAGCTCTACTCTTACTTTTTATTTGTCATATTCTTGTTTTTGGTTCATGTATTGTTGTTTTACATGCAAAATTGTGTTGATACATTTTTTTTTATTTAGATATCAGATGGGTAAATAAATAGGTGGGATATCTGTTATTTGGGATATGGAGATGAAGATAATTTTCTGTGATTTGTGTTTGGGAGAGGTAAAAAAGAGAAATCGACCAACCACTCATTTCAATAAGGAAGATTAATAAAATATAATGAAACTTTTTCAAGAATAATTAGTAGATTGTATGATAAAACTTAGCCGAAAAAAAAAATGAGATCAACTTAAGAAGGACTGGAAGTTGTGAAAGGAGCTAAAGAGAGAGGCAACTGGTTTAGGATGGGTCCCTATTATTAAAACAGTTGATGTACCTATAGAGTGGTGGCAAGAAAAGACTTCAGTAAGTATAATATCTTACACTCAATATTGCTTATTTAAAATTCTACATCTTAGAAATCAAGTTTATAAATTGTAGGTTTTAGCGATTGTAAAGAAATTTAGACTTGTTGGCATTGACCCAGAGCTGGAGAAAAAGCTAGATACCATGTTTCTTGGTATTGTAGCAATAGTGGTCAACATCCAGACTACAACATAAGAGTCCACCCCTCTTTGGCTAAAAGAGCTATGGACAATGTCAAACCACTAGACCTATGTTTTGCTCAAGTAACTCGGAAAATTAGTAGCGATCTGAGGTACATACTATTTTTCAAGGTATTGGTTTTACTCTCAATTCACACTTCATTAAATTAAACAAAATTTATAAATAACTTATATTATGTTTTTTAATAATAAGGACTATATCGAAGCAATTGATGGAACACATGTTGGCTCACGCAAGAACAATAAGAAAAAGAAAGATTATATCGGTCTACATAGAATATATTAGCAGTATGTGATTTCAACATGTGTTTTACATTCATGATAACTTGTTGGGAAGAGAGTGCACATAACAACAAAATATTCAAATTTCCAACCCGCAGCCCAAATACAAATTCTCGATGGCTCCACAAGGTTGGTGCATCTAATTAATCCATCACTATTATATT